AGTGTGTATTGAATTGTTTGTATGATATTATATATAATTTATTTTGATTTTAGTATGTATATTTAATTGTGTGTATGATATTATATTTAATTTGTTTTGATTTTAGTATGTATATTTAATTGTGTGTATGATATTATATGTAATTTGTTTGGATTTTAGATCCAAAGATGTATGAAAAAATCTTCAGTGGAGATCACCTGAAAGAACATCAAGGTATAAGTACTGGTGACAAAAGTATTAGTGAAAGTATCCCAAGAAGACACAAGAAGATACACACTGTGGAGAAACCTTATAGATGTACAGCATGTGGTAGAGGATTTGCAGGTAAAGGTAACTTAAAAAGTCACGAGAAGATACACACTAGTGAGAAGCCATACAGGTGTGCAGATTGTGGCAAAGGATTTTTGAGTAAAAAAGGTCTAAACATTCATAAGAAGATACACACTTGGGAAAAACCATACAGTTGTGCAGTTTGTGGCAAAGGATTTTTGAGTAAAAATGGTCTAAACATTCATGAGAAGATTCATACTGGGGAAAAACCACACAGTTGTGTAGTATGTGGTATGCAGTTTGTAAGTAAAAGTAAGTTAAATAGACATGAAGAGATGCATACTAGAGAGAAGCCATTTTGTTGTGTTGTGTGTGGAAAACAACTTCGAAGTAAAAGTACGCTTGAAATACATAAGAAGATGCACACTGGAGAGAAACCATATAGTTGTGTAGTGTGTGGAAAAAGATTTTTTAGTTACAGTGGTGTAAAAATTCATGAGATGATACACACAGGTGAGAAGCCGTACAGTTGTGTAGTATGTGGTAAGCGATTTGTAAGTAAAAGTAATTTAAATACTCATGAGCAGATACATACTGGCAAGAAGCCGTACAATTGTGTAGTATGTGGTAAAAATTTTTTTACTAAAAGTAAGTTAAAAATTCATGAGCAGATACACTCTGGGGAGAAGCCTTATAGTTGTATATTATGTGGCAAAGAATTTGTAAGTAAAAATGGTAAAAAAACTCATGAGAAGATACATACTGGTGAGAAGCCATACAGTTGTGTTGTATGTGGTAAACAATTTGTAACTAAAAGTAACTTAAAGACTCATGAGCAGATACACACTGGGGAGAAACCATACAGTTGTGTTGTATGTGGCAAAGGTTTTTTCAGTAAAAGTAGTCTAAACAATCATGAGAAGATACATACTGGGAAAAAACCATACAATTGTGTTGTATGTTGTAAACAGTTTGTATGTAAAAGTAACTTGAAGAGACATGAGCAGATACACATTGAGGAGAAGCCATACAGTTGTGTTGTATGTGGTAAACAATTTGTAAATAAAAGTAACTTAAAGACACATGAGCAGATACACACTGGGGAGAAACCATACAGTTGTGTTGTATGTGGGAAAGGATTTTTCAGTAAAAGTGGTCTAAACAATCATGAGAAAATACACACTGGTGAGAAGCCATATGGTTGTGGAGTTTGTGGTAAACGATTTGTAAGTAAAAGTAGCTTAAATACTCATGAGATGATACACAGTGACAATAAGCCGTACAGTTGTGTAGTATGTGGTAAACAGTTTGTAACTAAAAGTCAAATAAAGCGTCATGAGCGGCTACACACTGGAGAGAAGCCTTACAGTTGTTTATTATGTGGCAAAGAATTTTTAACTAAAAATGGTCAAATGATTCATGAGAAGATACATACTGGTGAGAAACCATACAGTTGTGTAATATGTTGTAAACAGTTTGTAACTAAAAGTAACTTAAAGACTCATGAGCAGATACACACTGGGGAGAAACCATACAGATGTGTTGTATGTAGTAAACAACTACGAACAAAAAGTAAACTTGAAATACATGAGAAGTTGCACACTGGGGAAATCCATAGAGTTGTTTAGTATGTGACAAAGGATTTTTATGTTACAATGGCCTGAAAATTTATAAAAATATATGTATTGGTGGGAAGCTGTTCAGTTGTGTAGTATGTGGTAAACGATTTGTAAGCATAAATTACTTAAATCTTTAAGCATGGGCTTGGTCCCTGGATTGACCTCGTTAACATTTTGTGATGTACAGGTAGATATATATTTTATCTATTATTTTCAGTTATTAATCTCTGTACAGGTTTGGTAGATTTGACTGATCTTGTAACCACCATAAAAAATTAGAAAATAAATATAAATTATGCCTCTTTCATTGTAGAATCAACACAGATTATAACATGAAAACATAAATGTTTAGACTAAATAGATTAAATCTCATAACATTATAAATTTATATATATATATAATTTGTACATATGTATAATTAATTGGTAATACCTTCTTGCCATTCAGAATACATTTGAAATGTTTTTCTTTGTGACAATCAGATATATTTTTACACATGAACACTGTATTTGCACTATATAGCAGGTCATATGATTGATTAATCTAGGATTTTAATGTGAAGGTGGGTGTTGCATTTTTATATCAAGACTATACTTACACTATGTAAGAGTTCATATCATTGATTAATTTGAGTTTTAGTGTGAAGTTGGTGTTACATTTTTACACATGAAGACTATATTTACACTATGTAAGAACTCATATCATTAATTACCTTAGGGTTTTAGTGGGAAGGTGTCTGTTACATTTTGATACATAAAGACTATATTTACCCTATGTAGGAGCATATATCATTGATTACACTAGGGTTTTAGTGTGAAGGTGGGTGTCAGGCTCATCTTTATGGTGGAAGATAGCTTGTAAACACTATCTAGCAACTAAATTGTGAGACCTATTTTTTTACATAAGATGGCACATTTTTATAAACTCTGTTTTCTATATGTTTTTACTGAGAAATATCTACCAGGGATAATAAACACTATCTACTAGCTCAGATCATATATCACCATAGGTTTTCTAACCAGGAAAACAAGTGCAGTCATTTTTATTCACGAAATACATATTTGTATTTCCTTGTATTTCTTTATCTCCTTGTACTGAAGTTTTCTCCCATTTAATAAATATCATTCTCTTAAAAAATAATTTACTTCTGTTTGAGCTACAGACCCTATATTACTGGTGCTGAGTTAGTGTTTGAATTATATATATATATAACTAAAGTAACTTCATAAACAGTAATGACCCTATATTACTGGAGCTGAGTATAATCGAGTATTTAGAGTTAGTAGTTGAATTATGTATATAACTAAAATAACTTCGTAAACAATAAAGGCCCTATATTAATGAAGCTGAGTATACTCCAGTATCTAGAGTAAGTGTTTGAATTATGCATATATATATATATATATATATATATATAACTAAAGTAACTCCATAAACAGTAAAGACCCTATATTACTCAAGCTGAGTATAGTCAAGTATTTAGAGTTACTGTTTGAACTATGCATATATATATATATATATATAACTAAAGTAACTTCGTAAACAGTAAAGGCCCTCTATTACTGGAGGTAAGTATACTCGAGTATTTAGAGTTAGTGGTTTAGTTATATATATTACTAAAGTAACTTCATAAACAGTAAAAATCCTATGTTACAGCAGCTGAGCATACTCGAGTATTTAGAGTAAGTGGTTTAGTTATATATATTACTAAAGTAACTTCATAAACAGTAAAGACCCTATATTACTGGAGCTGAGTATACTCAAGTATTTAGAGTTAGTGTTTGAATTATGTATATAACTAAAATAGCTTCATCAACAGTAAAGACCCTATATTACTGGAGCTGAGTATACTAGATTATTTAGAATTAGTGGTTAAATTATGTATATAACTAAAGTAACTTCATAAACAATAAAGACCCTATATTACTGGAGCTGAGTATACTCAAGTATTTAGAGTTAGTGTTTGAATTATGTATATATATAACTAAAGTAACTCCATAAACAGTACAGACTTTATATTACTCGAGCTGAGTATAGTCAAGTATTTAGAGTTACTGTTTGAACTATGCATATATATATAACTAAAGTAACTCCATAAACAGTAAAGACCCTATGTTAATGGAGCTGAGTATACCCTGGTGTTTAGAGTCAGTGGGTGAATTATACATAAACTAAAGTAACTTCATAAACAGCAAAGAACCTATATTACAGGAGTTGAGTATACTGAAGTATTTAGAGTTAGTGTTTGAATTATGTAAATATATATATATATATATATGTAACTAAAGTAACTCCATAAACAGAAAAGACTATATTACTCGAGCTGAGTATACTCAGGTGTTTAAAGTTAGTGGTTGAATTATATATATAACTAAAATAACTTCATAAACAGTAAATACCCTATATTACTGGAGCTGAGTATACTCAAGTATTTAGAGTTAGTGTTTGAATTATGTATATAACTAAAGTAACTCCATAAACAGTAAAGACCCTATATTACTGGAGCTGAGTATACTTAGGTCTTTAGAATTAGTGGTTGAGTTATGTATATAACTGAAGTAACTTCGTAAATAGTAAAGACCCTATATTTCTGGACCTGAATATACTCAAGTATTTAGAGTTAGTGTTTGATACATATGTATAACTAAAGTAACTCCATAAACAGTACAGACTTTATATTACTCGAGCTGAGTATACTCAAGTATTTAGAGTTAGTGTTTGAACTATGTATATATATAACTAAAGTAACTCCATAAACAGTAAAGACCATATATTACTGGAGCTGAGTATACTAGAGTATTAGGAGTTAGTGGTTGAATTATGTTTATAACTAAAGTAACTTCATAAACAGTAAAGACCCTATATTACTGGAGCTGAGTATACTCAAGTATTTAGAGTTAGTGTTTGAATTATGTATATATATATAACTAAAGTAACTCCATAAACAGTAAAGACCCTATATTACTGGAGCTGAGTATACTTAGGTGTAGAGTTAGTGGTTAAATTATGTATATAACTAAACTAATTTTATAAACAGTAAAGACCCTCTGTTACTAAAGCTGAGTATACTCAAGTGTTTAGAGTTATTGGTTGAATGATATATATAACTAAAATAACTTCGTAAACAGTAAATACCCTATATTACTGGAGCTGTAAATACTGAAGTGTTCAGATTTAGTGTTTGAATTATGTCTGTATATAACTAAACTAATTTTATAAACAATAAAGATCCCCTATTACTAGAGCTGAGTATACTTAGGTGTTTAGAGTTATTGATTGAATGATATATATAACTAAAATAACTTCATAAACAGTAACTACCCTATATTACTGGAGCTGAGTATACCCTAGTGTTTAGAGTTAGTGTTTCAATTATGTATATAACTGAAGTAACTTCGTAAACAGTAATTACCCTATATTTCTGGACCTGAGTATACTCAAGTATTTATAGTTAGTGTTTGACTTATATATATATATAGATATATACATACATAACTAAAGTAACTCCAAAAACACTAAAGACCGAAAATTACTGGAACTGAGTATACTCAAGTATTTAGAGTTAGTGGTTGAATTATCCATATAACTAAAGTAACTCCATAAACAGTAAAACACATATTACTGGAGCTGAGTATACTCGAGTATTTAGAGTTAGTGGTTGAATTATATATATAACTAAAGTAACTTCATAAACAGCAAAGGCCCTATATTACTGGAGCTGAGTATACTCAAATATTTAGAGTTAGCGTTTGAATTATGTATATATATATATAACTAGAGTAGCTCCATAAACAGTAAAGACCCTATATTACTCGAGCTGAGTATACTAGAGTATTTAGAGTAAGTGGTTGAATTATGTATATAACAAAAATAACTTCATAAACAGTAAAGACCTTATATTATTGGAGCTGAGTATACTAGAGTATTTAGAGTAAGTGGTTGAATTATGTATATAACTAAAATAACTTCATAAACAGTAAATACCCTATATTAATAAAGCTGACTATACTCAAGTGTTTAGAGTTAGTGTTTGAATTATGTATATATATATATATATAACAAAAGTAACTCCATAAACAGTAAAGACCCTATATTACTGGAGCTGAGTATACTTAAGTATTTAGAGTTATTGGTTGAATTATGTATATAATTGAAGTAACTTTGTAAACAGTAAAGACCCTATATTACTGGAGCTAAGTATACTCAAGTGTTTAGAGTTAGTGTTTGCATTATGTATATATATATATATATAAATAAAGTAACTTCATAAACAGTAAAAACCATATATTACTGGAGCTTAGTGTACTTGATTCTTTAGAGTTAGTGGTTGAATTATATATATATAATTAAAGTAACTTCATAAACAGTAAAAACCCTATGTTACAAGACCTGATTATACCCTGGTGTTTAGAGTTAGTGCGTGAATTATATATACAATTAAAGTAACTTTTTAAACAGTAAAGACCCTATATTTCTGGAGCTGTGAATACTCAAGTATTTAAAGATAGCGTTTGAATTATTTATATATATAACTAAAGTAACTCCATAAACAGTAAAGACCCTATATTACTGGAGCTGAGTATACTTAGGTGTAGAGTTAGTGGTTAAATTATGTATATAACTAAACTAATTTTATAAAAAGTAAAGACCCTCTGTTACTAAAGCTGATTATAATCAAGCCAATAACTCTAAACAATTGAATGATATATATAACTAAAATAACTTCATAAACAGTAAATAACCTATATTACTGGAGCTGAGTATACTCAAGTATTTAGAGTTAGTGTTTGAATCATGTATATAACTAAAGTAACTTTTTAAACAGTAAAGACCCTACATTACTGGAGTTTTGTATACTCAGGTGTTTAGAATTAGTAGTTGAATTATGTATATAACTAAAGTAACTCCATAAACAGTAAAAACCCTCTGTGAATGGAGCTAAGTATACCCTGGTGTTTAGAGTTTGTGGGTGAATTATATATACAACAAAAGTAACGTCGTAAACAGTAAAGACCCTATATTACTGGAGCTGAGTATACTTTGGTGTAGAGATAGTGGTTAAATTATGCATATATCTAAACTAATTTTATAAACAGTAAACACCCTTTATTACTAGAGATGAGTATACTCAGGTGTTTAGAGTTATTGGTTGAATGATATATGTATAACTAAACTGATTTTATAAACAGTAAAGACCCTCTATTTCTAGAGCTGAGTATACTCAGGTGTTTAGAGTTATTGGTTGAATGACATATAT